ATCTGGAAATAACTCAAATATCTTCAACCATGAATAGATAAACAAACTGTGTACACCCATATGGTGGAATATCACTCAACAGCAAAGACCAACTATCTATTGGTAACAACACAGATGAGTCTCAATGCAACACAGCAAAGGAAAGCAGACAGATTCAAATTCGATCTACAAGGCATTGTGATGACAAGGGTAGAAAATTTTTGAATGGCTGCCATGGGTTAGGGTAGTAGATGGGGCTGGAGACAGAGGAACACAAAGAAATTGTGAGAGTAATGGTAAAGTTATACATCTTGTATAGTAGAAGTTACAAACTTTGTCAAAACTCATGAAACTCATAATAAAAAGGGTGAACTTTACCATATATAAAGTATATCTTAACTTTAAAAATTTTTAAATGAAAATAAATAATGACAATTTTAAGTTACCAACCCCTTACCTTCAGCAGAATTATGCTTACTCTACATACATGGATAACTGCCTATTTCAAAACACAAAGAATATTCTAAAAACTCAAATTGCAATATATAGTTACTTGATAGGACTTTAAGAATGGGGAAGAAAACTTTACCTAGGGAACAAATGAATTTCATTTACAACTGTACTTAAAAAAAAAATCCAGGAGAACCTAATATCTAAATCTTGCTTTGAAGTCTACTATGACATGGGAACTTGAACTAATACACAGCAAGTGGCCAGGGGCCCAACACAGTCTGATGCATCGTATCAACCAATCTGAAGAGGTAAGCTACTACAATAACTGATGATGAATAACTGTTGTAGATGCACAATAATGAAGGAGCCAAGAGGATTTTCTGAATCCCATATTGCCATGGGTCCTGACACTAAGCAAAATAAATCAATACTCAGGGTAAGGCAAAAGTCACTTTACAGATGAAATTATAAGAATAAATAATGAGTTAGGAATAAAAGAGAAAGGAATAGAAGACAAATTTCATTTTCACACAAGTTAACATACGTAGCATACTATTTGACATTGAACTCAGCACACTGTCATCTTCATCTTCCGTCTCATTCTGAATATAAATGGCTCTGTCTATTCTCCTCTCTTCATCTGCTTCTAGCTCTACCTCTCTTCCAGAGAAATATGTAATTTAACCTCCCTGAGACTACAAGGTCAGATTGAGGTAGCTCTAAATGAGAGAGGCTACTATGAATTGAATTCCAGTCTGGAGTGACCCTGTAGGTCAAAACTTGGACCCCGAGACCACTACAAAGCCAACGTATAGAATCATTCTAACCTCCGTGGTATCCCTTTAAACGAAGACTGGTCAGACTGGGCTGGTGACAAGATCTATGTGAACTGACATCAGAATCCCTCACCACACCCAACACAGATAAAAGTGCCAATCTAATATATGCTGAAAGAATAAGCAGGCAATCATTTTAATGAATTTAAGAAAATCTCCTTTCTGAAAGCAAGCACTTGCCTTTTACAACAACCCAATGATTTGGTAGATATAATTCCTAAAAGTCTCTGTGTAGGCCTAGAGCACCCAAGACTTTAATGCTAAGATATCAAGATATCAACCTTACTAAATAAATAAAATTTTAAAGTACCAGTCCACGTGAAATTATTAGCATACACTTTACTTCTTTGTAATGTATTTACATAAATAAAATGGATATTTCGTTGTGAGGGAAAATAAGTGTTTTCAAGGTATATACAATCAGATTAATACCTATCAAACATACCAAATCTTAATTTATTTATTCCCCAAAATGTAGTTAGTCTTCCTCAGTTTCCAACGCTTTCTTCAGAGTTGGTCTAACCTTTGAGTTAGTTCTTATCCCCATCTATTTCAAGTATTATTAATAGGCCTCCTGGACCTTGTTATCTTTGACTCAAGCACCTCGTGGTCTCAGCAAAGGCTGCCAAAAAAGAAAGGTCTCTTAAGTCAAAAGTAGCATCACAGCTGCAGTAAGAGCAAATTGTCTACTGTTTCCTTGTAGAAAAGGAGAAAAATCATCCCCCAATATTACATGGGGGTTTCTTCCAAGATGACAATTCACAGTTGGTCAAGTGACCACGGCCAAAACAAAGGAAAGAAAGGAATCAATTATCCAGATAATGCACACCATGTTTATATAACAGGCAGATATTTTAACTAAATAATTCAGACGTTTTTTACTACTCACTCTCAATGTTGCAGAGGTAAGGTAGGTGGCTCAGATTGGCAGCTCCATTCTTTGTTTTTTGGGTTTTTTTAGTTATAGTTGGACACAATACCTTTATTTTGTTTATTTATTTTTATGTGGTGCTGAGGATCAGGGCCTCCCACATGCTAGGCAAGCGCTCTACCGCTGAGCCACAACTCCAGCCTCCCTGCCCCCCACAGATCCATTCTTATGTTCTGAAAATCATCTTTTATGTACTTTAAAAGTTCTTCAGATTATGGAAAAACATATTGCAACTCTTTGTAAAATGATTTGTCAAAGTTTCCAAGATAATGGAGGCTTGTCTTGATTCAAAAAGATGGTTTTTCAACAGAAGATTGCTTTGACCTTAAATCTTTGAGTATATTAATTTTTAGCTGAATTCATCTGGTATTGAATATACGTATTCAGTTCAACTCACTACCAGTCCTGCAGATGTGAAGAAATGTTTATAATGCATTTGCAGGTAGTTAAAAAAAAAATCATACAGTTGTCATCCCTTTCCTCTTCTATTTCAAGAAATTACTGCTGGGTGCAGTGGTACACATCTGTAATCCAGTGACTCAGGACTCTGAGGCAGGACAACCACAAGTTCAAGGCCAGCCTGGGCAACTTAGCAAGACCCTGTCTCAAAATAAAAAATAAAAAGGGCTGGGGGTTCAGGTCAGTGGCAGTATACCCCTGGATTCAGTCCTCGGTACTGTATGAAGGGGCTGGGGGGGGGGGGCGTGGAGATTGATTAAATGTGAAACCCGTACCGAGATGTTGCACTTCACAGTTGGGAGTAGTAATGAAAGAGAGGAGGAAGGCACCAAAGTACTCAGTCTCAGTAGAAGGGTTCAGAAAAATCTGAAATGGTAAGATCTACCATGAGTGACCTCAAAGAAAATGCTTTATTCAGAATGATATTAAAATGAGTATGGGAAGAACCAGACTTAGCTAGCTAGCACAATCACTTTAAAAGAAACAGATTACTGAGTTACACTAAAAAGAAGGGTGGTTCAATAGAAGGGTGGTTCAAAAAAGGATTAGAAAGCCAGATTTCATTTTTCTATCCTCTAGAACCCATAAAATGATTTCCAGAATCCAGATCTCAATCTCCTTCACATCACGGATACATTCGAAAAATAAGAATTAACCTTTCCAAAATTAACCTCAGAAATTTGAAGTTTAAAATTTAACTTAGGATCTATCTTATTTTATACCCAGTGACTTATTCAGTGGTATATAGAGCTCTGCAATTTAAATCTGAAAAATCCATACCTGCAAGCAATTTTCTCTTTTCTAACTTGCACTAGTAACAATTTTTCTGGACTTCAATTTCCTTATCTGGAAAATGGGACTAACAACTTACTTGCCACATCTAATTCAGAGAGTCTCTACTGAGGTTCACATGAGGTTGGCCTTATGAAATCATTTAAACCTCAAAGCAATATACAAATATTGGCTGCTGAGGTGCACCACTGTTGGAGGCAGAAAAAAAATGGATTAAAAATAGGATCTTAATTACCTTAAAGAGAAGAGCTTCAAAAACAGCAAGGAGCAATTTTAAGCCATTGGCCATATGTATTTAGGGAAGTGGTTTGACATAAAGACATGTTTTCTGGTTTGTTTTTGCATTTTTTTTAAGTACTAGAGATTAAACCCAAGGCCTCACACATGCTAGGCAAACATTTTACCACTGAGCTATATCCCCTGCCCTTTTTATTTTATTTTGAGACAGGTTTCCACTAAAGTTGGCTGCCCTCTGACTTATGGTTCTCCTGCCTCAGCCTCCAGAATGGCTGGGATTACAGGAGTGCACCACCACGCCCAGCTTGAATTATTATTTAGAAGTGGATTCTCATGCAAACACATTCACTTTACACAGACAGCAAGAGAAAAATAAGGAAGATTAAGAGTGGGTGTCCAGCTCTCAGTCACCAAAATAACTGATAAAGTTCACTTAGGGAAAGAGGGTGGAGTTACTTATAACAGCAGGTATATAGAAAATATTGTTGCATAAGTGAGAGAAACAAAAGTGTTATTACCAACCATAGAACTGTCAGGTCATCTACAATCATAAATACACACACAAACACACACACACACACACACACACACACACACACGTTTCTAGAGGCTTTAGAAAAAAAATTGAAAGTCTATTTTATAAGTATCAAACAGAAGGGCTTCCTTAGCTTAGTTCTCCACATGAAACCTGAGGGAGGTAGCATTGCTGGGAAGAAAATATGACACCCATAACAATGAGGTCAAGGGTGTTCTAGGAGCTATAGCCTGGAGAAGATACAAACTGTTTTTTAAGCACTGCAAATCAGCCAAACAAGGTGTGGTTTCAGAAGATCTGCTTGCCTTCACCCAGTCTAAGAATTTACTCTTTAAGGGACCTAGGATATTGGATAATGGGGCCACATAAACACAAAACTGAATTATCTGCAAGAACATCAAACAATGATACCAACTATGCATATAAGTGACACTGTTTGTAGGCACACCAACAAGATAGAAGGGAAGACGACTAATCTATAGGGATAACACCATGGACCAAATCACCAGTAACCATGACAACCCAAGTTGGAGGGAGGGAAATACAAACACTGACCAAACATGAGGGTGACAAAATTCCTTCAGGTAGGGACCCTGAGGTAGGAAAAAGACTTGATTAGTGGAAGAAGGTGACCAATCATGAAAGTGAGTTGGCCAAAGAGGCAGTGTCCATACAGGAGGTCTCGGAGGTGACACTAATACTCTCCACGAGGCGAATCACAGGGCTAAGGGCTCGTCCGTAGGAGACTGGACGCCTATATGACCGAAAAGGTAGTCACCTGGTGCAGGGCTGTCAAGCCGTCCACGTTGACGGTGTTGATGTCCGCACCTCTCGTCAGAAGCTTTTTCACTTCGTCCGTGTCCCCGCTAGAGCAGGCAGCCAGAAACACAGCGCCGTCTTCGAAGCGGACCCTGGGGTTCCCGCGCCTAGTCTGTGGCTGCCGCCCCGTGTTTCGTCGCTCCGCCGGCTCCTGCTCTGTCAGCGAGCCCCGCCAGCGCCGCAGCTGCTCAGCCCGCCGCATTCGCGCCGACTCTGCCCGCTTCCCGCCCAGGTGCTCCAGCTCCGCCATGGCTCCGGCCTGGGCAGGTGCTGCCGAAACTACCACCACTAGACTGTTGGTGCGGCTTGGGTTGCCGCTGCCGCCTCCCTCAGAGCGCTTCAGCCGGGAGCAGAAGGCGGAGACCACAGCACCGCCATCTTTACTCCTCCCGCCACTAGCACCGCCCGCGCGCTCGCTCGGCTTCAACACGCCGGCGCTGCCCTGGCCTCGGGTCATCACGGGAGTTGTAGTAGGAGACGTGCCCTAAGGGCACCCCTTCGCCGAAGGGGAACTACATATCCCTGGATGCATCAGAAATAAAAGCGAGGACCGGCTGTTTCCCTTCTTCGCCAGGGGACCCAGCGGGGTCACCTTTGCCCTAAAGCTGGAATCGTTTCCCCGATGTGCGTCAGCGTCTCCCTCTAGGCATTTTGGGAGTCGTAGTTTATTCTTGTTATGACTACTAACAAATCTTACTTTGGGAGTGGAATGAATTACACAATAAGTGCAATAAATACTCCCCGAAAGATTTGATTCCATGTTCAGGTTCTAAATCTAGAGTTTTATTAACATGTATTAATCACAGTAAATGGGAATGTGAGTGAGGAAGAGAAGCATCCATACACATAAGGCAATACATGTATTACATAAATATTTTCAACATGACACTTATTCTGAGCCCAGAAAAGATATTTAAAAGAACGCATCCAGGTGTAGTGGCAAGAGCTTAAGCTTTGAATTAAATTTGAATTCACATATTTAGACAAGTTACTGGACTTCTCTGAGCCTGTTTCCTTACGCATAAAACTGAGATAATAAAACCTCAAAGGGTAGTCTCATGGATTAAATGTGATAAGATATGCAAGGATAACTAGTGCTATTCTTGGAACAATCAGTTAACAATAAATATTAATTTCCTTTCATTCTCCCTCCTCTCCTCTATTCTTGTCATGGATCTTAAATATTACCAGACAGAATGGACATTTTGTCTTCCATGATTTTTTTTTCCAAAGCCACAGAAAGATACTATGCAACATTCTAAACTCCTAAGGCAACAAGTGAAATTCCATATTCAACATGAATTGCTTATAAAACCTTTGTGTATCTAATTGATTTAATAACTATACCCTCTAAGGCCTTAGCCCTGGACAAAATATAATTAAATGTGTTATCCATAATTAAAGACAACATATACAAATATTAGGTTCTTTCATATTTTCTGCATATTTGAAATTGTTCTTTAAAAATGTTACAAAAACCCTACGCATGGTGGTGCACGCCTATAATCTCAGCTACTGGCAAAGCTGAGGTAGGAGTATTGAAATTCCAGTAACGTATCCAGACCCTGCCTCAAAATAAAATTTTTGGAAGGATTGGGGATGTAGCTCAATGGTGGAATGCATGCTTAGCATGCACTAGGTCCTGAGTTCAATTCCTAGTGCCACCAAAAAAAAAAAAAAAAAAAAAGCAGAAATATGACTAGGTATTGTAAAGGGAAACTTATTTTTATTATACTCTTATTAGGAACATTTGCCTGTTCCTCAATTTTCTCTGAAATGCACTGGAAATCATACACTGAAGAAGTAAATAAATCTAAAAATTGAAAGCCTCACATAAAAACTGACATATAAATACAAAATATTATGTTTAATAATAGTGTGTCTATATTCCATATGCTTTAAGTTGAATATTCCTAAATATCTTATAAATACTAATTAAGCCTTACAGCATCTTTATATGCAAGGACTAAAAATGTGCATAAAAATAAATCACTAATGTATACTTTTTTGGGGGTAGGGAGTGGGGATTGCACCCAGGGAACCACTGAGTTACATCACCAGCTCTTATTTTATTTTTTATTTTGAGACAGGATCTTGCTAAGGTGCTTAGGGCCTTGCTGAGACTGGCCTCAAACTTGAAATCCTTCTGCCTCAGCCTCCCAAATTTCTAGAATTACAGTCGTGCATCACCATGCCCAGCTTATTTCTTTTGACTATATTCTTTTTGCATTCAGAAACAAGAAATAGCTGGTCTGGTTGTATAAATAAATTAAATTGAAAAAAATAAATTAAAATTGGCCAAGTTCAGTTTAAATTCTTCTTTCCTCAAGAAAAGTTTCAATTTCAACAATAATAAAGTCTCAATACTAGCAAGATTCTGGAAGCAGGAAGTACTTCCTTGCTAATTATATTTGCCTTTTTTCTTCTTCCTCATCTTCCCTTCCTCCTTTCCCCCTTACCTTTCCTCTTCTCCTTTCCTTCTACTTTTCCCATTATAGTAACCTTCTCTTAGGAGACTTTACAGAAAGGTGTAAATAGCTAAGTTCCTTGTCTAATTAATTTAAGAGCAAACCTACCCAGAAGAAGAGAAATGTGTCTTTGAACTAAGTGATTACTACAAATAATAATAATTATTTACACTATAATTTTTTTAGTTAAAATCATGTCAGTTTTTTTCTAACCAACCAGGTCTCTGAGAATAAATTACACAATAAGTTTATTAAACAAGTATGATAGTTTAAATTTAGAACGGAATGCCTTAAAGAAAATATTTTTATATATAAGCAAGTAAATCCTGACAAATAAGCCTGCATACAAATAAAATACAATTTTTGTACTTTCAAATGTACTAAATCCTCTATGTTTTCTATAAAGGGAAGAAACTTTTATAAAATTGTAATTTTCCATATCCACAATTTAAACAATAAATTTTAAGATTTAAGACTACTCCATTTAAAAAGCAATATGACAGGCTGTGGTTGTGGCTGTTGGTAGAGCACTCACCTAGCACACGTGAGGCACTGGGTTTGATCCTCAGCACCACATAAAAATAAAATAAAGATATTGTGTCCACCTACAACTAAAAAGTAAATATCAAGAAAAAAAAGGCAATGACACCTGTAGACAGTTTATGAAACATTTTTATTCTGGCCTCTATTCCCACTAGGTCCTATAGCTCCCTCTGGTGGGCAAATTGAACTGTACAGTTAACACCCAGTCCTTTCTTTTCCCTGTCCATCTCCGTTCCTTCGCCAAAACTCAATTTGCTGGTTTTCTATTATCACTCCTTTCCACAAAACTCAATACAGTTAGTACTTTTTCTAAGAGACATATTAATGCCTATTTCTCAAAGAATCACTCAAGGAAGTACATAATTTCAGTTGTGAAACAGAACTGTAATTGAGATACAACAGTTGAGGTAAAAAGAAAATAAGACATTGAGGGGATTAAATATCAGTAAAATATCAAAATAAAATAAGACATAACTCCAAAATTATGGAAAAAAAAAACCCCACTTCACTGCAATGAGTAAATGCTAACAATAAATGCAAACTCCCAACAGCTAACTGGAAACTAGACTGGACAGTAACAGAATTCCTGATGTTTCATAATCTCATATAATAATTCTCATAATTCATAAGCTATTTTATTTAGTTGGTTCAGTCGTACAACTAAAGTGAGGGATTCCAGAGTAGGATCATAGAGTTCTAGTGACTGTGTGGGTCTACTGAGGAGAGAAAACATACCATGCAGTTCATGGAGAACCAGTTGCTACCTAACATCAATTTGGACTAAATCTCTACAGTTGCCAGAATTATATTGGTTTACAAGTTTAGGAAGAGACTGTTCTTTGCTCCTGTGCCACCACTGTTCTAAAATGACACAATGAGCTAAGAACAATGATAAGATGAAGGTTGGGTTTTATTTGTTTTTTGTTGTTGTTGTCCCACATACAGTAGTCCCAAAGGCTAGTCAAGTTCCAGCCCTGTCCTTTGTATTCTCAGGTCCAAGCCATCCTACACCTCTCAAGGAGCATTCACCTCTGGCAGAGGCAGCTCTATCAAGGTTGGTTTAGCTATAAACAGGTACTTCCTCATTCAGGTACTTCCTTTAACAGCTTAAAAGTCTCTGTTCCAAGGCTGGGGAGGCTTCGTGGTAGGATGTGCTAGGTCCTGAGTTAGAGCCCCAGAACAGTGGYAAAAATAAATAAACAAATAAATAAATAAATAAATTCATCTTCCCAAACTTCCACCCAATACAAGAATCCCTTTTGAGCCATTTTAACAAATAATTACCCAACTCCCACTTGAACACTTCCAGTGATGCTCTGGAATTCACTCTCTTCACTTTTTAGAGTTCTGATAGCCAAAATGCTTTACTGAACTAAATTTCAACTTTAATTATCATCCATTCATCTTACATGTAGGTTATGAAGTAAWGTCTATCGTATGAAAAATATTTAAAAGAAACGAAGACAGCGATCGCCTATTCCCTTCTTCAGATTAAATGTTTCCTGTTCCTTTCCTTGTTCTCTTTCCAGCTTTCCGCCTGGACAAAGYCAACCTTGTGCCAGGTAGCGCAGCCGGAACAGCGCCTCCAGGAACCTCTGCAGAGGTCGGCTGGGCGTAGGGATTTGAAGGGTGGCGCCAGAACGCGCGCTCCAATTTGAATGAGGCATGAGCGGAAGCGGGCCCAGAGCGCTGGCCAATAGACGGGYGTACTCGTCTCTAGGGAATTGATGCGAACCAATCACAATCCTTGCAGGGCAGGAGGCGGAGTCACGCCAACAGCCCGGGTTCAGGCAGGCGCGGATTCCCAGTTCCTACTAGATACCTGCGCTGCTGCGCTGTGAAGTGAGGTTGCACAGGTAAGCAAGTTTTCCGGCCCCACACCCGAGAGAACGTACCCAGAGGAGCTCTAGTGACTGAGGCAGGAGGATCACAAGTTCGAGGCCAGTCTCAGGTTAGTCTTGGGGGAAGAGTTTTATCTTAACATGGGCGTTTTCCTCTCCACTGAAGGGAAAAATCAGAAAAGCCAATGGTGAGCGGAAGTTCTAAGTATTTTCGCAGTGAACTTGGGTGGAAGCTTCTCCAGGGATACTAGGGAGAAATTTGCCAGGGTGAAAAAGACGTAGGTGCCCTGTACTCGCCGCAGGGTATGAGCAGGCCGTTATTTTTACTTTCTTCAACATCTCAGGTTTTGTTCATTAATTATTAAACGTCGTACAGGTTTGGATACAAGAAAAGGCTTTTTTTTTTTTTTAAAGACTAGGCACCTGTCCTAAAGAATCCGTCCTGATGAGAAGGAAGCTATCAGAGATGCATTTGAGTGGTGTATAGGGTTGGGATGCATTACTGAGGAGGAGGAAGAATTTGGTGTGTACTGATCTGTAGGTGTGACCGAGAATGATATGGGCATTATGTC